AATAATGATTTATTATCAGGTTACTAATTTCTTAAGAACTAATTTATTCTATAGATATAGATTACTTTTATCTTTAATATATAAATTAGTAGTATTTAATAATTAAATTTTTTATTTAGTTAACAGAGTCAGACTTTCTATCTTGATAAGTAGATTCTATAATAAAAAATTATTTTCTAATATTATTACTAGCTATCTTATTTTCTGCCAGTAAATATAATATTATTTGTAAATAGTTTATAAATTATACAATAATTCATACTAGCCAAGACTTGTAGTGAAATTGACATTAGTATAAGTATTTTTTTTTAATATAAAATATCATGGGAATTATAAGAATAACGATCCTAATAAGTACTATTATTAACCATTTCATAAGTATAATGATTCTTTTAATATTTTATTTTGATGACTGCAGATATCATAAACATATCTATTCTATTATAAAATAAATATGCTGATAAATCAAGAGGAAAAACTTAAAGAGCATAATAGAAGAAATTAAGATAATTAACAAATTAAATAGGAGGTAGAAATGAAGAAAGATTATTATTAAGACATACAGGATACTCTAAATACTAATTATAAGTAGTTCTTCTTTCTTCTTCAGTTTTTCAACCTCTTTAATGATTATATAAAAATTTCTTCAGCAGTTTATGTCATGGTAGTTTCCGCTTTCCAGGCTCTCACAATCAGATAAACAAAGTGACTAGAATATCATCGTATGATCCTGAGTACCACTTCCTATCTTGGTTATATATCTTTATACTGTTTTCTTTTCTTTTCCTATACTAGAGATTTTGGTCAGTGCTAATTGAACCCCTTTTGATCAGCCTTAATTATGATCTGTACGAACTAAAAAAATCTAACTGCCTTACCTGCTAGTGTATATATGCAGACATCTTGCAAGGAACTCTACACTGAAATATAATTAACCTCTTCAGGTATGTGAAGTACCCGACCCCTTCAGCCTTCCCTATAGTGTGCGAGCAGCACCATATTGATTTGGACCAGAGGGAGCTATGCCACGGATACCCAGTAGAACAATTCTGGATGCATATCGACAGGATCCTCTTCTTCCATTGCTTCTACAAGAATGTCGCTCCCTTGACCTGGCCAAAAATGAATTGGGCTGGCTGAGGAGTCGGGCTGTTTCTATAGCCCAGTCAAAGTCAAAAATTGAGACATTCAGAACCAAACCATTCCAGGGATGGCGAAGTTCTCTGAGATCGATGTGCAGGGCACGCTCTCGAGGCAAACCACTCCAGTACATACTTGGTGATCAGCCCTTTGGGGATTTGGACATTTTGTGTAGGAAAGAAGTTCTGATTCCTAGGTAATTTGTACATGATTGACTATTCCTGAATACCATGTGCTGAGTGGGTAATTCAACGTCCTAGACCCGAAACTGAGACATTCACCTTCCACGCTGCGAACCTCATCTCGCGCAATGTCGCTAATGCCAGCCAATCTCGGATCAAGCCTCGTGCTATATCTGTACGTGTGATTGACCTGTGCACGGGAACAGGATGCATATCCCTCCTCCTACATGCTCTTGTCGCGCCATATGTACGGCACTTGTCCATCGTCGGGATTGATATTAGTACGGCAGCAATTGACCTGGCGAGAAAGAATTTAAAATACAACATCCGACGAGGAAAATTGTTGAACCGAGCGATGGTGGATATTACATTCAAACAAGGCAATGTTCTTTGTGGTGCACCTGTTGATGCATCGCATGTGGAGCAAGCTCTGGGTGGTACTCCTGAACCAACCCTGCGTACAGCGTGCCATCTTGATGTGATCATATCCAACCCACCGTATATATCTGAGAAATCATATGGTAATGGGACAACTGCACGGAGTGTTCGGATGTTTGAGCCCAGGATTGCATTAGTCCCTCCAGTGATCGGCGATGCTCTGAAACCACCGTTGCACCAGCAAGAGGATATCTTCTACTACCATATTCTGTCACTTTCCTTCAAGATGAGGGTAAAACTTGTAATCCTCGAATGTGGTGACCACTCACAGGGCGAACGTGTGGCATCTTTGTGCCGTGCCTTAGCAGCTCAATATTCACAGGTGGACGATTTGTGTATCAGTATTTGGCCAGCTAATGATGCGACTGTGAACGACAGCGCTCGCGCAGTTTCTGAGCCATGTATGGTTATAGTACAGCGAAGCGGATTGGGTAATGATTCAGCATGTGATCAACCTCACCACTAAATTGAACCGGAGCACATTGGTTCTGCCTATGATACAGAGGGACCGAAGTGCAGTCAAGTCAATTGTATGACCGAGGACTCACCCGTATACGGTTTCATAGTCTAGCATGTCTTCTATCGGTAAGAAGGGAATAAACATTGCACAATAAACGAGCTTTTACGGTTTAAGTTAATGCCCTCTCATCAGTAGGGCAGCCTGGGTGCGGTCCTTTAGTACTATAAATGGTAATTATACTATCCATTATCCATTGATGGCAGCGTGAAACGATGATGGCTGCCATACTCCGTATGGATGCCGTAGGTGGTGACATTGGCCTTGTCATAAAATCAGTGTCGAATAAGGACACATTTATTGCATAGGAAGCCTGGAAAGTTGTGTTGCAGCATACTGAACAAGATACCTATATGTAGAGTTGGGTGGAAGATGACATTCTTTTGTCTTTCACTTTCACCATGTCATGAATCTGACGAATGACCAGAAGTCAGGGTATTATAAGTGGGTTTATTGAAACCCATTTTTACTCCATACCAAGGGAATATTCTCGATCATCACATAGCCTACATTTATATACCAGGCCTCATCCTGGGACTTCTGCAGCCTATTATACCATTTGTCATACGAACGGAAAACCCACCGACCTGCCCCCGGTAAGAAGGGGAATTGGCCTGTCTCCCCTCTTACCACAGGGACCAGTAAGACCTATATAATAACGATACCGCCAAAAAATTCTGTCCTAACTAATCACTTAACGCGCGATCAATACGCATGATCATAAAATATATTCGGATTCATCCAAAGAGTACAGTATGTTTGACAATATGATGAAGCCCCCACCCCCCAAAGAAGGAACAAAGAAATAAGAGTCTGAAATAAAAGCCATGGGTATCGCGAGTCAAAAGCATACCGAGCAGGCAAGGTCACTGGCACATGTACAGAAGCGGAAGCCAGCATACAGAAAGGGAATGGTCAGAAAGTCAGCATGTACCCAATCACAGCAGCACCGAAAGCCAAAAGCCTTGTAGCACCCATAAACCGAGCTGTAGCATGGCCACCACTCGTTGCGGATGGAATGCTAGTGAAAGTTGCACCAGTCGGGCCGCCAATCCTTGCACCAGAGCCATCAACTGCCACCGTCGTGACAGGATTAGCGACTTTAGTAGCCCCGGGCACAGAGTCTTCTCCTGTTCCAATCTCCAAGACGTCGTTTCCCGTCGCATCAAAGTTAGTGTTGGCGAGAGAAATTTCATTGTTCGCTAGGTCGTAGACAACATAAGCACTGCGCAAGAAAGTGTCACCCAAAACAGCGGTACTGTCACCAGCGGGGACAATGCCAAAGACACAAGCGCGTTCACCATCCTGAAATAAAAGATCGCCCACGTCGAGTACAAGCTCGTTTACCCCGACAGTAATAGTAGGCGATGAGAAAGTGTAGGTGATATTAGTGTTGTTTTGTGCCAGACTGCAAGGCACATAGCCAACACCAGAAGACTGTTCGTACACAACATCGAAATCATTGTAGATATCTTCGACGATGGAATCTGGAAGATATGTAAGGGAACTACCGGAATCAAGCAAAACGGCAGCCGGAAGCGCATCTGATGAGTAATTGTGACTGCTTGATCCCGAAGTAAAGGCGACCCCGGTGAGAGCAATTATAAATTCGGAGTAAATGCCATTAACCTTCTGAATTGGAAGGGTTTGTAATTCACCGTGATATTTCTTCGTATTCACACCTCCAAATAAAATAGAGCCCGTATTGGCATCTAAATCATTTAACCATAGGCTGTAGGCATTTGACTTTATCAAACCACTCTTCACCATTGCCCTAGGAAGGTTAGGATAGGCGCTGTCACCGAAGCGGCCGACTTGGACCTCATTCGAAATATAGCCGATGCCCAGAACACCCTCTATTGACAGGAGTCAGTTGATGATACACGGATGCGGGCGCCTGCTGATGCATGAAACTTTTACGGTTGGAGATTCAACGTACCGGAGGAACTTGATGTATACCCGATACCAAATTGGAAATCCTCCAATGTCGAAGCTCCTATATGGAGAGTATCGGTTGCGTAAACACCAGCCGCACCGGTTCCATCCGCATAGGAAATATTGAAGTCAGACGAGACATATGTGTACGTTGTAGACTTGTCAGAATTAAATGTGCCGGATGTACTGCACGGATCTGTTGACGAGGAGCAAAGCGTAGAATTCGCTGCGTTGCACCAAAGGTCGCTACTCCCAGTATCCAAAACCAGTCGTAGGCTCTGTTCCGGCGTCCCAAGGGTTATATTACAGAAATAGAGCGTTTCCTTTCAGAAAAAGGTAAGCCAACACGCACTGGTAGAACTCGGGATCCTTCGCATACCTCATTATCAAGGGCCTGAGCAACGGTGGTTGTATCTCGCCTGCGTCTTGCGCGGTCCCTCATCACAGGATCTGACACATCGTTGCGTTTAATATCCAAGGTCACAACAGCGGGCACTTCTCTTCGCTGGAGTACCAATGCCTTTGCTGTCTCAAGTGGAACAAAAGACACAGCAACCAAGAGAGACAGAACTCTCCACATTGTGCCCCCCACCTTTCTGTCTTTCTTCCCCGGGCTCAGAATCCCTCAGGTGCCGCTAAGGTGCGGGTTTTGTTTTGTGGAACAAATTTCCAGTGTGGATTCACTAATGATGCTGGGCACCAACTGGTACAGATCAATTATTCCGGCGTTTGTCTGTCAAAGGCTGGGATAGGACTGCCGGCAAGATTCGGGCTGAAGCGGACTGTGACGAGATTGTATCGCGATAGAGAAAGCTTAGCCATGAGAAAACGAATAGCTTCGGCTTTTGGCCTCCACACATGCTTGAAGAGAGGGGGCATATTGCTATTATATTGGAACATAGTACGTAGTAGGCAGACTGGGTTTCAGTTGTTGGTCCGGGACTAGTCGGCTGATTGACTCGGGCCCAGATCTCCGCGCCCCACTTATTCTAGGCTGAGCTCTCAGAGAGGACGGTATTATTCTGCTGTCGTCATCACCTGTGGGTCCAAGAAGATACCAATTCCGGATCTCTTCTAGAGAGACAAATGTGCATACAGAGTGATTCAATTGAAATACAATATAGTATTATACACGAAGTACAGAATCCTATCATTGGTCCAACAAAACTACCAAGTGCATGCTCAATATTCTAAGAGACTCCTTATTCTACGCCACTGTTGCTCCTTTGCTGGTCTGGTCTTGGCAGACTATTGTTAGAAGCATACGGAAGCTTCAATGGAACCGCCATTTGGGCGAAAACGGCATGCTCGGACGGATTTGATTTGCAGGCCTTTTCCGGCAGTGATTCGGCTAGCTCGGGCGGGAAAGAGAACATTAACGGTTTGGCAAGAAAGCTCTCCTCCAATTTTCAGCCGTAAGCCCGCATTTCTGCCAGCTAAGTAACTGTGCAGACGGTTCGGATAACCTTGGAAGTGTGTGTGATAGGTGCAATGTTACACCGCCATGATCAGGTTAACTACTTACTTTTCAGCAGCCACATTTTACTGATGAAGGCTGTAACCGATGTATCACGTGCGTGTCAATAGATTTCGCCATAGGAAATTGTTAGGAGTACTTATAGGGTTGTTCTAAGTTACCTAGTAGTTCTATTGCTCCTGAGACTGGTATGGCGGCCTTTCAAGTATTCGTAGATACTGTACGTGCTGTGTATATGGGCAGAGAAGTATAGTGAATGTATGTTTGGATACTGCTTATAGGTACACAGATCATACAGTTAATAGAAAAGTTCGCGGCTAGAGGCGGTTCTAATATAAGCGTTCCGGAAGCAAGGATTACTGAAATTTCGTATAAAAAACGTCTTCATATCAGCGCTATGGATTTCATGTCGTCAATGGACGGACGCCACATTAAACACCAATTTACATATTAGTGGTGCCGTTTTCCAATGTCCGTAACACCGAATAACATCGGACAACCCACATGGTTACGTATACGACCAAGTAACAAGGAATATGATTTGTTGACATCTGAATTGGAGCATGCGAATTGTGATGTGCGTTCTGAACATGCAACTGGTACGGACAGCCTCATCAGCCTGGGTGCACTCAATTAGACTTCTGCCTTTCTATCTTTATGCATTGTAGCGCTGTAGCATCCTGACATAGGCAGCAGCGATGAAACACGTGCTCTGGCCCTGCGTTAACCGGAAACTCGAAATCCTGAAGCCTAAAAGACGTGCCATCACTCATCGCTTGAACACACAGTGTCAAGTCACAAGAGCCTTACAACAACTGTGGGGCAAATGGTCGTCGGTTATTGCTCCGGCATCTCCTGGCACGGTTCAAAATATAATCTAATTTAGTAACACATGGCAATCCCTTTTGCCAACAATCCTGCCAGCACGGCTAGTTCACCGGAAGGTTATGTACATCTGGAGAAATGGGGAGGACTAGAAATTGGAGAAATAAGTGCGCAAACAGCGACGGCGTAATGGAAAGGCGTAACGGAATGTCGCACCAGAATGTACCCTCACAAACCCATAGCTTCTCTGACTCTTGTCATAGTCAGCTCAGCATTGGCTCGAGCGGCTCGAGCACCCTTTTCTGATATATCCTCCAGGTAGCCAGTCTTATCCTCCATGAGCGAAAAATATTTTTCCCTTACAGGCTGCAGGTGATTGGATATTTTATGGGCGAGGTTTTCCTTAAATGCTCGCAGACTGGTTGACTGGAACTCCAAAGCTAACTCTTCGCACGACCTTCCCTCGAAGTGGCCGAGAAGCTCCAGAAGATTAGAGACACCCGGCCTACGAAAGGGATCGTAAGTTATTGTTGTTTCTGAGTCGGTAAGCGCAGCTTTAAGTTTTTTATGGATCTGGCTAGGTGAGTCAGTGAGAAGGATCCTCGACCGTTCGTCTACATGAGATTTCGACATCTTCAAGGTTGGCTCTTTGAGAGACATGACTCGTTTTGCAGGTGCTAATATGTGAGATTGAAGTTAGTCAATGTTCTCTACCGCGTGCAATGCAACTATCGTATGGAATACACACATATAAGTGACTCGGGGGATGGAAACACTGTGCCATAGACGTGATTGAAACTGTTTGCTATGTTTCTGGAAAACTCAAGGTGCTGCTTCTGGTCTTCTCCGACGGGAACATGTGTAGCTCTGAATTGCGTTAGGCTGTGATCAAACTATATGTCGTGATAACGAACCTATGTACTAGTATGTCCGCAGCTTGAAGAACGGGATACGAGAAAAGGCCGAGTCGCAGTCTTGACCTGGCCTCTGAAGTATCTAAAGTCGTGTCTTCAGGTAACTGGAGTTTGCTCTAATCCGTGTCAATGTTGAGGTTATACTCTCCCTTTTCTTTTCTTTTCTTTCTTTCTTTTGAGAATGCGGCCCCCCACTTCTGTCAGGATTTCATCGCCATGGGTACCTACCTTCCATTGAGTCATTCGTGACAAATATCCCATAGAGGCTACAGTGCACAGGATCCAGAACAATTCCGCATGTGCTGCTACCTAGTACTGTTTAGCGCGAGACTCCGTTAAAACCAATCAATCACATACAGAGCTTTGGTAGAATATAGTTGAGCGATTGGGGTCAAGGCCAACAGCTACTAGAGTAGCCAGTGATTCTTGTCTCCATTGTCTCAGCCGGGCGCTTTCTTGTGGTACCGTCAATGCATGTAGGTCAACTATGGAGAAGTATAAACTCGTCCCATCACTCGCGTCATCTTGTAACCTCACCCATTCTCTTAGGGCACCCAGGTAATTCCCCAGATGCGGCACGCCTGTGGGTTGAATCCCGGAAAAAATCGTTCGACCAAAACGTGGTGAGCGAGGAGTTTGGCAACTACTCCATCTTCGGAAGCTGGAGCTATTTGGCTGCCGACTCACCACCTCCAGTTGGGGCTGAATCGAGCGAGGCCGATGAGCTTTTGTCAGGATGAGGCTATAACGACTTATCTTAATATGCATGGCTGTTCTTCTCATCACACGGATGCCCGTCCCAAGGAGGTATATGCCCGAGGTTGTTTCGTGCCTTGCACATTTAAAGTCACGTGATACCATAGATTACTACTAGTTGGCCCGGCTGTTGGATAGAACTGGTCTAGCTGCTCAATTCATGTATTTCATAAAGCACGTACATGCCGCAACAACAGATGTCGTACCGATAGTTTGCCTTTCTCCAGCAAGAACACATGACAGCAGGCTTATAGACAGATTAATCTGGAAAATGAAATTGTAAAAGATTGGTAAAATCGTACAAGATGATGACAACTATGTGATATTATACAAAGTATCGGTAAAAAAACAAAAGCACTTATGCCTTGCGTGCTGTAGTTAAAGGGCCCTTGTATGCAACGAAGCGTTCGTTGTCCAGGATGTCTAAGATAGAGTCATGAGATGTTGCATCTTGCCGCTGACCAAATTGTGAAAGGTAAGGCTCAAGCGTCTTCTTGACTTCTGGAAGAGTGCTGTCCATGTTTGCAGCTACATCTGTGTCCACGATATCGTTAGTGACGTGGCAAACAGTGACCAGGACAAAGCGAGATGAGAATAGCAATATACCGAGGCTTTCATGTTCCCAGACATTTGCTTTCATGCCGACTCCATAGAAAGCATGCTTGCGCAAGAATGCTAGCCATGTCTGTACAACTTGAGGGTTGCCGTCTTTGATTTGTACCAAGCGTCGAAGTGTTATTCTTTCAAAATTCTCCTGACTCTTTTTGTGCACGAAGTTACTTCTAGGGACGGTCCATCGTTCAACGATTCGTGGCAAGGGCACCGGCCCCGAGACAGGAAGGTTCAGGTAGTAAGCGGCCCGCACAGCAAAATCGGCGAAAAATTCGACGTTCCGTACACTGTAAGATCTCAACTGAAGATCACAGACTGGAAGGCCAAACTCGGCCTTCCTCCGGAGGGGTCGTAGGTACACAGCTTGAACGCTCCTGGGAAGTCGAGCCTTACTATTAATGCTCTCAAGGCGTTCCCTCCTAATCATGAGTAAGCGCATGTCATCGAGACCAATTTATTGGAATTATCAGTCAAAGTTCAGACCATTGTTTCGTTTGCAGTTCGGTCGATTGTCTGTAAGAACACAAGTTAGCTCTCCTGGTTGTTCAAGGTAGTCGTGAGAGCGCTAACAGTGCACTGGATTCAGCCGAGGCTGCTGGGTGGAGGGAATCGCTCGCTGGCTGTGCATGATGGGTTATGTCAGAGAAAGTGCTGTAGCCTCTAAAACCTGCTAGTAACTGAAAGCTATTAATATGACTTCGCCGAAAGAGCCGGATGGGGTGAGGAAAGATTACCTGGAATTGTCTGCCAGTGCATTTGAGTAGCCGAGAGTTGAGGAATAATGCCATGGTTAAATTCAATGATTGGAAGAATTGAATAGATGGTACTCTAGACAATACAGGAACAATGCGTCAGATCCCTAGGTAGTATTGCAGGGACCTTGGATATCCTCATCTGAATACCTACAATCTTTTTCGCATCAGTGCCCCAGGATAGCGAGCGAAAGGCCACCTTTGATTGGCCATGGAACAGACCGCCTTGTTTGCGTTCTCATCCGATCACATGACAAATTACCGGCTTCCGATAATTGAAATGATAACTCATACTTTTATCTAAAAGCATATTTGAAATGATCCTGATGCTGTAGATACATTTATGGCTCCAGTGTGCCTTATTTTGACAAAAGAAAAGAAAAAAACACCCCCCAACAACTACTGCTAGCGCGAAATTAGAAAGAGACCACGACCTAAGACATCATGGCATCCTCTCGCAGCTCATCATTTCAACATGCGAGTGAGGCGTTCTCGTTCCTGAAGGAACGCCTACCAGAATCATTGACAGCACCCCGAGTTGCAATAATTTGTGGCTCTGGCTTGGGAGGGCTCGCAAGTACCATTGATCGCTTGCCTCAAGTCGAGTTCGACTATGCTTCCATACCCCACTTTCCCCGTTCAACAGGTAGCCGTGCCCTCACAATTCGACAGCCGTGAAGCTTTACGCTCATTCTTCAAGTTGCTGGCCATGCAGGAAAACTGGTCTTTGGACTACTCTGTGGAAATACCCCTGCAGTGTTGATGGTTGGCCGTGCTCAGTGAGGCTGCTCTAACAACAGGGGTCACTTAGCTTGCTAATAAAGATCTTTTCAAAAGTTATTACGAGGGGCATTCCATTGATCAAGTGACATTTCCTATACGTGTCTTTAAACTCCTGGGGGTTGACACAATAATCTGTCAGTTCTATGCTTTTTCTTCGACGAAGTCCTAGTGATGCACTACTGATAGATTTATTTGTTTTCAGTAACCAACGCCGCCGGGGGATTGAACCCTGAATATATGGTAGGAGATATTGTTCTGCTCAATGATGTAAGTGTGTTACCATATCACAGCCATCAAAGCCCAGGCCTAACATATACAACCTCAGCACATATTCTTGGCTGGCCTGGCGGGAGTTCATCCACTACGTGGTCCAAACTCTGAAGAGTTTGGGCCCCGGTTTCCACCTCTATCAGATGCGTACGACCTTCAATTGCGCTGTCACGTCCATAAGGCATGGGCCAATATTGCAAGTGCAGAAGGCAAAAGAAGACTGCATGAAGGGGTTTATGCCTTCGTTGGGGGTCCTAGGTAAGCTTTGTCCATCTTGATACGCTAACGACCAGAATTCTGAGAATTTCAGTTATGAGACCCGAGCAGAATGCCGTATGCTTCGCCAACTAGGCGCCGATCTTGTCGGGATGTCAACCGTGCCGGAGATCGTTGTTGCCAGGCACTGCGGAATCAAAGTCCTAGCTTTGAGCCTGGTAACGAATAACGCGGTTCTCTCACCAGTGCCTCGCGGAGACGACCCCCTTCTTCATGGGAAAGACGTGGCAGAGCTAGACGATATTTTGCAAGAAGGAAAAGCAGACCATCAGGAAGTCCTTGAAGCCGGCCGCTCCGCCGCCATGGATATGCAGGTATGCACCGCATGACTCCTTCCATCTCTCGCGCACTGATAGTAACTATCAATTCAAGAAGCTTGTTATACAGACTATCGCGAGTGTTTTTCCACCGGACTCGAATGGAGATAGGATCGGTGGTCAGTAAGATAGCGCTGATGGAGAGGACTGTTGAGCACTGGGGCACAGCTAGACGCTCCGGCAATATCAGAAGCTTCAAATTAGACTGCTTTTGACCAAAGACTGGTCGTCGTGCTTGTCTGAACAGAAGCTTGTTTATTCACTTGCTCTTCGTGTTTCTTTTCGCTCGCAAGTTCTTGTAGTAGGACCGTTTGCCGCTCTGCTTATGAGATTGTATATCCTTGTACTTAGCCTCAAATCGCTTGTTTTCTCTCTCCGATGCCAGTGCTTCCTCGACGAAAGTCCTCTTTCGATCCCTTTTCGCGATGCGGCTACTGAAATACTCAGTCGGACCTTCGATAATGGTTCCCACTTGAGAATACTGAGGAGGACGTGCTTTGCCGCCCTCCTTCTTGTAATGTCTCTTTGGGTCTAATACTGAGCGCATTCGAAGCAACTGCAGATCCCTCTTGAGTTCTGTTGTCAACTCCGTCTTTGGAAGGTCGAACCATGCGCTGCCAGCTGTGGGTTTATCCTTAATAGTAGACATGTTAGCTATATTCCCCCAGTATAGGCAATATCAGAATAGTAATGATAGGGAAGATGCTCAGAGTAACTATGAAACAAAAATGTGTACTCTCATAGGCACAGCGCATCCCAGTACGGGATGTTTAGCTGCATCAAGCGCTCACGCGATGGGATTAATTTTCCTCATAGCATCTGTGACAAAACGACACAGTGGGTGTTCAAAGGAAAGTAAGGCGTCTTACCTTGGAACTTGGCTTTGAGTGTTTGTATCCAGTCGGTCGCATCTCGAGTGACGGTCTCATGCTAGAGCTATCTGTTACTTTGATGGCATCTTCCACCACTGCAACATCATGTTGTTGACGGACATATGGTCTTAGGGAGTCCCCTGACGCCAACTTAGGGATACTAATAACACATTAGCTTTTGATGGGCAAAGAAGTTTGACAGGTACACGTACTGAACTGAGGTTGCCTCCAAACCCACATTGGTGAAGCTATTGGCATTAGAAGAGTTGGCCCCAACATCACTGGGTCTCAATCGATCCTCAGCCTCACAAAGCAACTGTTCTATATCCTCATCATTTAACCTGACCTCAGCCTGTGGTGAGTCACTGGTAAGTTCAATGCATGTTGCACCTGTCATGTCCTGTAGTAGAGTATCCAGGTAACTCGGGTGTGCATAAATCGGAGTAAAAAAAAAAACCAAAAAGTGGAAGCCCTCAAGGTAGGTATTTATAGCGTAAAATCAGGGCTACTTCGCTGTGGAAGTAGTTCGGTGGCAGGCTCGATGGAAAATTTGTGCTGTGGGGCAGAACCTGACCTCTACCCCTTGGCAACTAGTACATATGTGGGGCTGCCTCGATATCGGGTTATTGTTATTCCTGCCCTGCACAGTGCCTATCTACGATCATGATGAGACCACTGGTTAGGTACCTATAGAAACAGTTTATCTGCTTTCGCATGTCTTAACACCTTTTCGACTAGTCTGCTTAAGCTAACTGACCGCTAGCTTAACAAAGGAACTGTCTCCACATGAACAGGAAAAGCCCGGAATTTCCTAAAGACTGGCTGTGTACACTGTTCGTCACGTCTATATGTAACTCGCCACTTTCCAGCGGTCGAGTGAAGTCCTCCGAGCTGCCACAACTTTCTAACAGCACATTCCAGAATACCTGAAATCAAATGGATAGATGGGTTCAGTATGTGCATATACATACTCCTACTACAGAGTACCAAACGCATATCAATGAAGGGTGAATATAGATGCTAGTATATAGCCCGTTTTGCAAGGCCCTAGCTATTTAGAGCTAGTGCCGCTCGGTACAATTGCTTCGTACAAGACGTGAGTGTATGGCACCGTGTGGCATGTGAATCTTATGACATGAGTAAGTAATCCCAACTTGCATATATCTATCAACGTGTACAACGACGTTATTCCTGTGTGCACTGCCCGGGTATTGTAAGCAATTAGCCCGATGTATGGTACCATACTATGTTCAGAAGAATCAATGCATTGAACCAAGTTGTGGTAATGCTGGCTGGAATTTCAGAGCCAAAATGTGGGAAGTGACACATAACCTAGAAATAACTGTTCAACGCCCTTGGTAACAAAAGTAGTCAAGATAATGAATTACCTACATCTGGCACCGATCCTATGGAGTATATGTTCAGAATAAAATGTTTTGGGTGGTCATCGGCCTCCGCAGGGTCTGAATGCCAAGAGGCTTCTGCTAGCGTCACTCGAGCTGCGCTATGCTTGGCGCCGCGTCTTTGCCATGGTTGCACGCTACCTACATACAAAGGCATCGAAGCACAATCACCTGTTGGGCGCTTTCTATCTCCATGATCGGTCTCTTACTTCATAGAGTTCACTAGGTCACTATACTCTACGACTTTGACCCTTAACTCTTGGGGTAAATTGGCTGGCTTGCTTCTAACTAGTCTGTCGCGTCACGACACCCCGCTATCGCGCTTGTTGGGAACGTCTTTTCATCCTTTGCCAGACGAGTCTGTAAAAGTGCTGTTGCGCACGTCTTATATCTAAGTACAAGTGACTGGGCTAGTCATTTAATCATGGAACAAACTGCACAAACCCCTGGAAAACAGCAGGGCAGGCAGCAGCCTGTGTACGACACCAGAAATGGCGGGCATTATGGTAAATATTCATCGAAATCCCCTACACGTGTTAATATCTACACACATACGCACACACATATACACGTGAAAATCCACGTTGACGGCTGATGGCATGTCTCTAGGTGCTAGCGCAGCGGTATGGTCGCCTTCGAAGCTTACGAGTACGCCTACGTTCTTAAAGCTAACATGCTATATCCGTCTAGCTTTCTGCGCAAGGCTATGCGCCTGTTGCTGAGCTCTATACCGGGACATGGGCGAATGTGAGTTTTATATATTGGTAGAGAATAGATAGTGACTGACATTTCATCAGGTCAACCAAGGCCTGCAGGGAACCGCCCGCGATATACTTACAACATATTGGCAGCACATCATCAACCATCTAGAGTCGGACAACCATGATTACAAGATACACCAACTACCACTGGCTCGCATCAAAAAGGTCATGAAGGCTGACCCAGAGGTTAAAATGATATCAGCGGAAGCACCAATACTTTTTGCCAAAGGCTGTGATATCTTTATCACTGAACTGACCATGCGGGCATGGATTCATGCCGAGGACAACAAGCGGCGTACGCTACAGAGGTCTGATATTGCAGCAGCACTATCAAAATCTGACATGTTTGATTTCCTCATTGACATAGTACCTCGCGAGGAGGCCACGTCCCATGCAAAGCGGTCTAGCCAGACAGCTGGAGCTTCTGCAGGCGTCCCCGGCCCTGCAGGAGCCACCGGCCAACTGCCACCATCCCAACACGGTGTTCCCCACCACATGCCTCCGCCGGACTATAGTACCCTCGGTCAGCATGGGCTCCAAGATCAAGAATATCGGCCGCCAACGATGTATGCTGGAGCTGTGCAGTCTGACCCGACGGCTGCTTATGGTCAGCATCAGCCTCAGATGTTTGAAGGAATGTATGCAGCGTATCCGCATCTACCACCCCAGCAGGTATGTTCAAGCATATTATTACGAGAACCCCACTCCCCTTCTCGTTCCTTTCCTTTCCATGTACTACTAGTTGTCCTCTATATTTTGACGTTGGCTAATGCACCGGACACCAATCAGTGAGTGGTGACGGCACTCAGAGCCAGGTACAACCTGAGCGGCACACTAAGATTATACGTACAACGGCACCATGCCATGGTTTCGGTTACCCCGGTAAAGGAAGTGGCCGGCTATGTACTGTGTAGCAACAGCTGTGTTGCAGATTTACGGAGTTATCGTGAAGCAGTTCTCATACCCACATATTTTTTTGACATGCTGTCTCTGAATAAAACCAGTGCACTTGCTTGATGGTACATACAATGAATTAGACCAAGTAGTCAGCAAAGTTCATAACTTCTTGCCAAATCTCGATGAGAGTGTGGAGAATTTATCCGCTTTTACAGGACTTTGAACAGTGCGTATAATCCTTCTAGTGGTTAGTAAGGCAACCGGGCTATAGTGTTGGGCAACGCACTTCTCTAACAAGACAGGACCATGAATAGCATCCACACGACCGTATTTCTTGTTCCGCGTAGATATATCATAAAACTCGTCAGTGTTATCTGCTTGCATCAACTGCACCGTCTGTTGCAGCTCGTCAAGGTTTTCTCGGAGTATAGGAACACCAAGACTATCAACAAACTGGGATAGGTATTCGACGTCTTTTGCAAGGGCCATTACACCGTTTGGGTTAATCTTTTTCACCTCCGGAGAGAGAGGGAGTGCCTGACGGAGGTCAGCAGATATACAGTAAAGAGATGGCTCGACGCTACTCACAAGAATCATATTCGCGGCATGACTGAGAGCATCAAAGTAGATAAGTTCTTTTATTTCTGTCGGCAAGCCGAGTAGTGTCGAGTTCATGATGTTCGACAAGAAGCGTGTTAGTGTTTGCATGTAGTTGCTAGGCTCGGCGGGTGGGACAGATGCCATCCAATCGTACTCAGCGGTTTCTATGAGGTCATCGATCTTGGAATTAACAACCTCAAAGATACGTTTTTCAGCTGCTTTCTTATTGCTCCTAAATTTCTCGGTAGCGTTCAAGGTGACCACATCACCAGAGACATTCTGTGATCGAGCAGCAGCGAGTAATAGCTCGAGTTCGCGACACGCGAGCTCAAAATGCTCCAGGTTTATTAAAATCTGCACGATCTGCCCCAGATATTGTGAGGAAAGCCGTTCGACAAGGGTGTCGCAAACTTTGTCTGATAGGAGTTCATCCAATGCCTAAGATGGTAAGCAATGTGAAGATATATATGATATAGTATACTTACATCTCTCAGGGTCTCGTCAATGAGACTAGGATGAGAGAAATCGTCATTGGCAAAAAAATAGAACTGGTTCAAAAAGTTGCGGATGTCGATGCAGCACAAAGGATACATTTGGGAAAAGGGTAAGACACACGGAAACCTGTACTATCGTTAGTTGACTGAGATGAGTGTCTTAATTTGACAGTAGAAACGTACACTTGCTCCTCCCTTGACTTGTCAGGACTGTACCAACTGACATTCAATACTTTATCAAATTCCTCGATTGTCTGTATAGGCATAGGCATATAATCATCGGTCGATACTATCTTCACAGGTCTCAATATAGAGAAATGGAATCAGTTTGTGAGGGGACATACCTCTCGGAAATCGTCACTAAATCTTTTCTTGAGCAGATCGGCATATTTCCTGAATAAAATCAGAAGGAAGTCATCAAAAACCCCGACGTGAAAGTCCCAGGTCTATTTGTCATATTAGTTAAGATATCTCGCCAACAGTCAGGCTCGGAGGTTGACAGACATTCATTGTTTGCATGAACAATGCGATGAGATTTTTTATTTTCAGTAGGCTCTCAGCATTGTCAACCTCATGGAGAGCCTCCGATATCAGGATCACAGCTGTTTGGCACATGGAATCCCATAATTCATCGACCTGTTTCAACTATTTCAGCCTAACAGATCTACCCGTTCATTCAGAGAGCATAACTCACATCAACCGAAGACCTCAGGTCCGGGACCCTCTTCATTGTGGAACGCTCAACAATGGCAAAGCCTGCCATTTCTTCGAGAAGATTGTGCAGACTAGCGCCATCTTCATCAATAAGAGTTATGGAGGCTGGTAACAAAAGTTCCTTCTGCCGACGTCGAGTATTAGCGTACTCAACTCGAAATCTATCCATATGCCCTAATGATCGGTGAATGTGGAGACATTCAAATAATGGTGTAAAATCAACCTGAAGTTCCTCATTTTGCAAAAGATCGTACTCTTCGCTCTCGTCGGATACCAGCTCGATCGCCGAATTTAGCTTGAACTGGCCAAGATAGGGTGATATTTCTGTCCGCTCCTTATGCCTGGTCTTTCGCAAGTCAGTATGATACAAAGCGATCTCCCCAAGGTACTGCGACATCTCTCGGATTCTGTATAGCCAAGTGTTAAGGTCAGACATGACAGCTTCCGCTATTGCTTTTTGCGTTGTTGGGACTGAGCGCTGGATCATGTCCGCAATTTTATATTGCGTTACCCCTTTAAGATGGACATTTTGCAATTCTTCTAGAGCGCGTAGTGCGGCATAGTGATTCTTCTTGGCGAGCAAATCGTGGACTTGATTCGCGAGACGCAACACCTCCAGACAGTCCTGTATAGCTCTGTATGTCTCATCGATGTTCTGCCGGTGACTCCGTGACTCTACCAAAGCTCTCTTCTGTTCAGCGAGCTTTTCCGTGCTTGCTTGTATCGACTGGTTGAGGTCCAATATTTCAGCAGTCAGGCTGACTGTACCTTCCCTAATGCGCAAAAGCTGATTCACTGATGTTACGAACTCCTGGTGATTGGTATTGCAGATGGTCTCTATCTCAGTCTCCTTGTCACTAGCAAATCTAGACAAAGTCTGTGATAGTTGTGATGTTCGGTTGCCAACGCTATACTCTTTGATGGAAGGAATCAATTGGTCAAGATAGTCCGCGTCTGAGGGAGATATGATGAGCTATGGAGACCCAAAATATTGATTAGTAGCTCGTCGCAGAATCCCTTTGCCTTTGCGTACCTGATTCAGGAGGTATGACGGCTCATTGCGAGAAGGTGCCATTGATGGCATTGCGACGAGTTTGTATGCGGGATGTGTGCTGCTGGAATCTTTTTTGTTCACGCTCTCGGACGCGGCAGCTAACAGAAAATGATCCACTGGTGTGACAACTTGCTCACAGTCGGAGACAAAACGCGCGTTGGATCCTCACAGAGTGAGAAACGCGTCAAAGGAACCGACAAAAGCAAGCCAATTGTTCGTGGAAACAGAAAAGTCATTCAGTTTGCGCAGGTAAAGTTATACAGCATACTGAGATTCTGATAACTAGGAGGGGGATGAACTCCGTAGTTGTACTTGATTACGTTTTCACTGCCAGGTTTCTAATTCCTCGGCCGTTGCGGGGATTCCACGAGATGGGGCATGCATTCCTCTAGCCCGCTTTGGAAACAGCCAAACTTAGTTATGTTCAATATCCAATGAAAGGGTGAAGCTCGCCGCCCCAGACTCCTTCTACTCCATTGAGTGAACTATGATCTATAAACAATAACGAACTTAGGTATTTGGGTTGTCAAAAGACCAAAGTTCTGCCTACTAAGGAGAGTCAGTGTTTCACAATCATCATCCAAATTTAAATCCTCCAAGGATCACATTGTTCGCCTTTTCATACACCTGGTTTGCTTGGTCCCCTAATATGCCCCACCGAGTAAAAGTCACCTTTCTCGAGATTATTATTGTATATTATCTCGTAAAGGCTCCGAAGTGGTCTGCATATTCAGGTGCCATAGACTTGAAGGCGACTATCATTGCTTCCTTTGTCCTCACTTACCCTTTTCTTTGAAAGAGAAGTATCACTGATACTAGCATCATCATCTTGAGCTGAGCTGAATATTTCGACGGGCAAACCTCGCTTGGAATAAACTACCAAAAGATGGACGAAACGGGGGCCGGGGCTGTGGGAGAGCGATACCGATATGTTCGGATTTCTCCTGAGCATCAACATCAAGTAGTAATCTGATATCAGGGTTCTCGATTGGCCCTTATTGGAATCTTGTGATGAACCACTTGCACAACTGAAAGGATTACGTGAGGGACTTCTCCCATGTTGTTTTATTGAACATCAGTATCGGGACGGTTTAGTTGAGTCTGGGAGTCACCTCTTACTGTAAAATGTGCTTCAACAACCCTTTTACTCGAACGACATATTCCCCACGGTATCTTGATTATCTCCTAGTATGTACCAGGGTTCTTGTGCTTCGTAATCTTTACAACTTATGAGATATACGAGGGCAATATTTTTGTGTTATTAGGTCAGTGCAAATTGATTGAATTGGTCATTCTCCACCCTTGGCGCCTAGATTAGGGATGGCGGTCGTGGTTCCAGTTCTGTTGCTGTATGTGTAATAACTGGCTCTAGAAGCGGCATGCTATTTGGATTTTTTTTCTTTCTGTGGGACGTGCCATTTCAAATATTTCCCTTGAGATGTGTTTTGTTGGTCTATTCCCACTTTTCTTGTGCTTCCGATATTCGACGTGATTGAGGGATTATCTTTTGATCGATTGTTTCTCGGGTATACTTCTAGACGGCCAAGGCCTCCACTTCAACAACACGGTTTCCTGGAATTGCTCCGCTGTAAGGTATTTCTTATCCTCATCTGACTGTGTGAGTCCGGGCTCGGTCTCCAAGACAGACCACATTCGATAAAACAGAGAGATTCTAGATTTGACTGGATTTCATCAACAACCTCACAGAATGAGGCCAAACGACACGTCCCACGGCTTGAGCAGTCCTATTTCTACAAATGACATAGGTTCTGCCAATGGGTCCCCTGACACCAAGCTTACAGCATATTCCCCAGAGGATATGCGATCTATATGCCTTCGCTCTGACACCAGTGTTGGTGATACACTGGGCGACATTGGGGCACGGAAGTTATACCTGGCGTAAGTGTACAAAATGACTATCTTAATTTCAGATCTGTCAGTGACAAGATCAGGTCATCCTCTGACCCCTTCCTGGCGTCGACTAACACCTCTACCCGTGTTCAACTCTCACCAACAGCGGCAAGCTTCACACCAATTGGCACGGCGGACAATGCGTCAATTAGAAGTAAAGCACCTTCACTGTCTCGAGGCTTTTCTGGCGCTGGCTATCTAACAGCAAGCTCGGATATTGATCCATGCGAAGCTAGAAATGGCCCTCTCCAGGCCTCGGACAGATTTTCACTGAAATATGGAGTTATAGGCAACAGTCAGGCTGATACGAGGGACCATCCGGTTATCAGGGACTACGAGACATTTGGCAGTGAAAGCCATAGCCGAGCCCTGGTTATTGAAAATGTGCCGAAAAATCTCACCTATATGTCCTTGGCTGGATTTTTCAATGTAAGTGGCTGAGTTCAAGAGGAAGAGTGGATACATTTACTGCCCTGGTCAGGGGTGGCGAGTAAGGAGTATTGATACTGATTGTATGCTGGACAGCGTCGTGAATTCAGCTCCCTCAGAGGCCCCGTGCTCTCGGAACTCAGTTCCATGGGAAAGGTCTATGTCGCATTCACGGACAGTCGGGAAGCGGCCAAGGCAATAGAAAAGGTCAAGGTTCTCAGGCCCGAGTGGCACGTTTCTACGATTGCCCCTAAAGAATATGTCAAGCATGTTGAGCCCTCCCTTTTGCCACAAACTTCTAACTACGAGGGTCAACTGCTTGTGACCGTCTACTATGACGGGAGAAACCCCAACCTCAATCAGCACACTATTGCTCGCTCACTTGAGACCCTCTCTATGACATTCGGCGACATAAAGACTTTTACATCCCTACCAATTGAGCAAGAGAATATTGGCGAATTTCACATTGAGTACTTCAACACGCGTGATGCTGATAATGTTTTGACCACCCTTAATGGGACATCGGTTGATGTACGCAGACAAATCCTTTTTCTGCTCCTCTAAGTGGCTAATAAAAGTTGTTGAAGGATTGCATCCTAGATATCTCTCTGTTCAGGCCAGATATGGAAGAGAGAAAGTGCGAGCTGCCATTTATGACTACAACGTCTTCAAGAGAGGAGTTCCCATCAGCCGAGGAGACTTCTTTCACAAAGGCCACTTCGTGGACCTCAGTTCGACCAAGTCGTGCTTCCTTCATGGAGCTAAGCCCTACTGGTCGCTCCACAGTCCCCCCAGGTGAACATGCTAGTCTCATAGACTGGATGTCTAAGGCTGGTGAAAGAATCTTCCCCTCCCCTCGCCGCGAACTTAGTCGCTATCCTGATTTACGCATGGGCAGCCAAAATGCAGTCGATATAGAGAGAATACGTCTCGGCTTGGATGTCAGAACGACGGTATAATAACCGGCCCATGCTCTCTAATATGCTAACTGACGTGCACCTTCACTTGCAGATTATGCTGCGCAACATCCCTAATGAAATCGATCAAGTAAGCAACACTCCAAGGGAAAGATGCTATTGTCAGCATGGAGACTCGGAAATCCTAATATTAAAAGGCTATGCTCAAAGCTATTGTGGATGAGACAAGCCATGGAAAGTATGATTTTATGTACTTACGGATAGGTAAGTTGATATTCCCCGGTCAAACTTGTCGATATGAAACGACTAATCTCCATGCCATGCCTACAGATTTCGCAAATAATTGCAAGTATGGCTGCCAACCTATGAATCGCCGCCAATGTCAGTATCTGATAATGTCTCTGCCAGCGTCGGGTATGCCTTTATAAATTTCGAAGATGTAAGTTTATTCAGCGACTTCTCCAGCCGCTACTGACACATACTTAGCCAATTGATATCATTGATGTCAGTATCGTCTCAACTCTCTTCGTCGTAACCACTGAATTTCATGTAGTTTGTCAACGCAAGAGCGGGACGAACCTGGTATGCTGAGACTGAAGGTATTAACAGATTTCCATTGTGTTAACGCATGTACAGGAATTGTTTCAACAGTGACAAGGTGGCTGAAGTGTCTTATGCAAGTTCGTGCTCGCTTATCCCAAGCAGGCTATGGATTATCTAAAACTCCAGGTCAGCTATACAAGGAAAAGATTTTTGGTGCAAAAGTTCCGTAACAGCTCCGTCATGCTGGAACATCCGTCCTTTCGACCAAAGGTCCATACCATCCCTGCTATTCAGTCGACGCAACTTTAGATAACAGGCTTATTCTCGCAGATTTTTCAGACCGGCACAGGTCCTCTCGCTGGCACCGAGGATCGCTTTCCTGGACCAGACAACCCTTCGAAAATGCGCCGCAGCATTGAAAATGCGGAACATGTTGGTAAGAGCACATATCTGCGTGCCATGGAAGAATTGCACTCATCAGCATCTCTTAGGACTCTTTGCTCCGCGCGTGGGTCAGCAGTACCGTGACGAGCAGCGCCGTCGCCGTTCTCAATTTGATCGTGGAACCACTGCAGCAGAGCGCGAAATAGTATATGTCCGAACATTCGCACCAAGACGTCCACATGGTGTCGGTAATGGTCTAAGAAGTACCTCCTGTACTTATCCTGGGATGAAGATGTGGCACGATTCAGTGCACGAAAGCGGACCATGAGCCCTTCAGCTCACTATAACCCTCAGGGGCTGCTTCTGGTCAGCCGGATACCCATCTAATCTAGGAAGATAACCAAGGAAAAATGCCTACATTGCCGTGCCTACGCTTGCGGCCCGGGAGAGCGTACAGGTAGAACTAAACGACTACCACTCGCTTTCTTTACATTTTAAACTAGAACTTCCCTTTTCATGTTTCTGCATGTTTTCTGCTACTATGTCGGAACCCAGCGCCCGATTGGAGCGACGGCCAGCATTTGACCCATGGGAGAAAACCTTATGGCCCTGGTTGGCTTGGTACGGTGTCTCAAGTTGTGTCTGAATGTTGGAACCCATCCTCTGAGATTTCGGTGCTCTACTCCTAATGTTCATTAATCCCTCGGATGTCCGATAATCTGAGATTTGAATACATCCAGAAGAATCAAATCAGTTCCGTTGCATGGCATTCTCGTCTTTCTGATGGAGTGGTGGAAGTGCGTTCCTAAGCCTTACATGAGACCACTGCAACCCAGGGGCGCTATGGGTGAAGCGGGGATAATGGAGTATGATTGAATCCTACTACCGTGTATGGCCTAGGCCAGATAGTAATTTAATGGAATCGTCGACGCAGTCGGTCTACATAATATTGCCATCACCGTGGTACTTGAAAGGTGTACGCCTCCACCATTATCAACGATAAGGCATGCCTGACCGGGGTAAAACAGACCAGTAACTCCTAGGAAATGTTGCTCAATTATGATAGTCTGCAATTAATTATGAATTTTATTTACGTGACAATTGGGGAGTTGCTACGTACACAGTAGGTCATGTATTCGGGTATTCTCCCCGAAGGAGCTTAACCTGTCGGTGCTCGGCAAGGTTACAGAGGCTAACTAATTTAATCCCTAGCGGCGGTTACTTAGATCATCTATCCATCGGCTCCAACCCAAACGTCGGGAAGTCTTAAAAACTCAAGTAGGCTCCGAGACAAAGTTCATCAACCTATAATTCAAAGCGCCACACTTAATTGTTGCGATTTCTCTTTCATTGTTCTGCATCAAATATACCGCTTTTTGACACAGCGCAGGACCGCTCATCTCACGTCCAGGCTAATACTCGGTAGGGTCTTCTCGTTGTTGTGGCGGAGAATGAGTACCGATGTGGAAAGAGTTTATGCGGTGCATTCTATACTTCATTTGATCTTTCATCGAAATAAAAACCAACATCGAGGGACTAAGTGGTGGAAATGGTTGTCGATATTGAAACGAGTCACCTTGAAGCTCGCCAGATCCCTTGACCATCAGCAGTCATATGGCAGTGTTGAGTCTTCTGCTGATCAACTTAGACATCACTTGTTGACCTATGTTATGCCGAAGTGCTACCAGTAAGTTAGGAGAGCGAACAACAAACGAAATCTCAGCGACTTCGCTTCATCCGACGCCGCCAAGCACAATTGCTGATTTGATATCCAGAGCATTCTCCGCAGTTGTTGCCGATGGACAGTTCTCTACTCTGGGAACAGTCTTGATAGCCACTCTTGCCCGTTTGGCAAAAGCTACAGGGATCGATAAGGAGTTGAAGTTGCCATCAAACACAGAAAAGGCTTCCACTGGCCCCGTCTACAGCACCGGTGCGCAACGAAGAGAGGACATGGGAGTCGTCCTCTGCCGCCCTGCATGTTCTTCAACACCCACTTTGCCACACAGGACTCAAGTCCCGGGAAGCTCACGTCGAGCTCGCGATGAGAGATCTCTAAAGGCCCCGAAAGGCACCGTAGGCTCGAAAGAGAAAAGCATGCGAAAGAAGAAGCGGAAAAAGGATGCTATCGATGATCTATTCGATAGCCTTCTATAGGAGCAGAAAGCGGGTCTCGCTGACATGACTTGAACGCTAGCCAGTAGATATACATTTTAAAGAGCATAACTTAAATATGCAGAGCATTCCTATCTCTTAGGTTCCGCTCAGTTTTCTCTCGCCCTCTGCTTTCACATTATAATCACTCCGCTCGTGAATGGTTCGGCAGTGTTGTTGATATCACATGCAAGACCTCACCAAACAAGTTAACGGCCAAATGGTTGAGGATAGCCCACGCCATTGCATAGAGGTACTTGGGGGAGAAGACCGTCCAGATAAAGAGATGCGACCTCAAGATCGTGCATGCCGCCATGACAGACATCAACGTGGCTGCCATGTGGAAAGTGAGAACAGCCATGTGACCCTCTCTTTCATGCCTAGCCTGGTTTAGCCTGAGAACCTGAGCAGCCGATACCCACCATATTGGCCCTGCCCAGTTACTTATAAATGTTAAGATACCCACCAAGACGACATTGTAGGTGCCAATGCCATTATATGCATTGGACAAGTCAACGGTGGCTATGGAGTTTGAACCGCCAAATGCGAAGAAGGTCATATACTGCGCGATCACAGATGTAATAGCTAGCTCGAGGGCGTGAAGATTCATCGTAGCAAGTATAGTGACATGGGCCCCGAGTATCAGGAATGCCGGAATGTTCGTCGCCTTTGATTGAGTTACCAAAAAAAGGGTGAGAACGTCATGGAAGACGGTACTCGGGACAACTGTAACATGTTAGTCATTGTTCGGGACGAAATTGATTCAGACTTGCCTTTCGTCTCACGCAGTCGCGTGGTATTGCTGGTGCACATTGACAGTGGAACGAGAAACAGAATCCCCACTACGACCAGCCGCGTAAAGAGGACGGTAGACCCTCCATCGAATTCCCTCTTCCAAAGAACAAGCAGAGCTTCAGGAAGAAGTTCAGGGGAATCTGATGCCACATATGACAGCTTCAAGAAAAACGCGCTCGATACCACTGCGACACAACATAGTTGCCAAAGCTTTGATAGACGACGGTGCGCCAAAAGGTGCCTACAGGTCATGGCATATGTTGATATAACGAGAAACCAGAGTATGAGCCGGTGGGAAGTGAAGAATGTCCGGGCGATGTCTGGTTCAGTAGCAAATTTCTGGCCCGTTTGGTTCCAGCGCCTCAGAACCCTATGTGATAGCAGCAGCACCAACGCACCATACTTGGAATACAGCAACTCATATAAGCGATAGAATCCTGTACTCCTCTCCTGTGAGGGCACGGAACAACGCGGAAGAATGGATGATCTTACATGTAGGTAGAACACCCACGCAGTAAACGTCCAATTCCAAAATTGTTGCTCTTCCTCCACATAGCTACTAGCGAACATCATGCCACCATAGCTTAGAAGACACAGTGTAAAGAATGCCCCCGCAGGCCCAGACTTAGAGAGCAGAGTGTAAGTCGTAGGAAGAGGAAGCAGGACAACGAAAAAAGTGATGGCTAAGCCCAGAAAAAGATTTCTGAGATCGTAGTCACTAGCTGCGCTACTAATTACCTTCTGTGCATGCTTCAAGAACTCAAATAATGTCGACTCAAGCTCGTCATGAAAACCATCCTTGTCGGTTCCGCTGGAGTGTTGAAGCAAGCGATCGACCCGAAACCATGCGCAGAGCGCCCGATCGACGTCGGCTAAAGGCCCAGTGTCGCAAGCGATGTTCATCGAATTGATATCGAAACTGTGGCTAGGAAACGTCTCTTTCATCTTTCTCAATATCTGTCGGGAATTCGAGAGCAACACTTCAGTCCTTTGCGATCCTGAGCCGGCCATTCATAAGTATGATTTACAATTACACGGACTAGCAAGGAAGATGTATACATACTTATTTCCCACAAATCAAGGAGTTCTGGGATAAAGACTCCCAGACTATTCAAAGGTATCGGTAAGCCTAAGAGTCCTGCCAAAGTCGGAGTTATATCTGTTTGCTCAACGGTTCGGTAATACTGGAAGTCACTATGCGAGTCTGTCGGAGACTGTCTGAGGATATCCAAGGTCTGAAACTTAGGAGAAATAAAGAGCAATGCGGGCGATGTCTCACCCACGGATGAGCCGCCATGATTCCCGGCATCGTTCATCCCATGGTCACCACATAAGACAAAAAGAGTGGACTGCAAATGTTGTTGCTGCTCCATGCTCATATATATATTAGCGACAACAGAGTCCATCTCCTGTTGCTTTGTTGTCATGTAAGGGCTGTATAATACTTGTCAGCCCGCGCCGAAGCCAAAAGCTGACTGGTTTCCCTTACCTCTGAGGGCCTGCTTTGTGCCCAATGTGATCTAGTCCAAGGTAATGCATGATGAATGCTGACCAGTCGTCACGTAGAAGCTCAGTAGAGACGTGACGAGTTACGTTGTTGTCCACTTCGATGAAGTCCTGCGCGAACCAGCTTAGCTTTCACATTGGGTTCACCAATGTAAGCCCGTTTGCATCTACTGACCGACACAAAGAAACTTGTGGTACCATCTGCTCTTTCGAACATCCCAGGGAATAGTTTGAGCCAAGTATCATCCCCATACATGACAAGCTGGCCTCCGTTTGCCTTCAACTGTGCTAACCAGGTATCTTGATATGCTAGAGTCGACGAAGTATCGGACTCTGCAATATTCAAAATTACGTCCAGAAAAGATGGTATTGAGCCAGTCGTTATTGCCTTGAGTCGAGGCATTGTGACAGTTGGCGAACTAGCATAAGCAGTGAATGGCAGTGCAGCTCCTGATCGAATCAGGCTATGGGAACAAAGGTTAGATAGATAGCTCCTTGTTTGAGTTTTACTCTTGCTGACCTTTGGGTAAACAGGAACCCGGACTTATTAGAGTACACGAAGTCACTGAGTAATTTCAGCTGGAGGCACGAAAAGCCGGGAGCATTTCGGAACAGTCATACCTCCTTAAAGCGTCGACAACCATGAAAATGACTTTGTCAAAAACCTTTGGGGTTGCCGTGTAGTTGCCGCCATCCTCGAATTTTGCAAGTCCTGGTATCAATGGCTTATAAGGGAAAAATCCAGACGAGAACACTAAGACAGCTAAGGGGGTTAATACATTGGCGATGATTATCGCCCAACTTCGTGGTAGGATGGCCATTGAGTGTCTATTCCCCTCTAAGTAGCTTGCCACAACATAAAATCAGACATCCGAGGCTATTACTTCATATGAGGTGCGAAATTCGGGTTATGCTATGACCACTGGTAGTAACTGCTAGGGGACAGTCGCATATATTGATGTCGTATACCGCCTACTGAAATGGGACCTGTGGGGTTATTTCCGGGCATCTAGATAGTACTTCATAGTTTGTAAATCACAGAATTACAGGAGCCATGCTATTTATCTGATATTCCATCTACTAATCCTTTGTAGCTTTAGCATACAAGTTTTGTATCACGCTCGTGCATGCAGAGGGAATATAGCCTTGAAGTCTCAAGCATCCGCTTGGAAATGACATTGCAGCCATACTCGGCCCTGACAAAACCAAGATCCACGCCCAGTTAAAGTTTCTACGGCTGAAATACAGGGGATCAGATGCGTGAAGGCGTCCACAAATGCTATCGCATGACTCCAAAGTTCTGCCCCTTTCCTGAAATGTCCCAGGAAGACAAAAATAACTAATAACTAAAACAGTGGTAGTTAATAGGCCACTTCTCCCACAGAACGCCAAACTCCATATATGAACAGAAGCCCGACTATTTCACAACGAATGAAGCAAAACATGCCACACGTTTCACCGTCTCTTTGAGTTTCCTTTAACCTTTGATGGGTGAGGACGGAAGACAATGGACGAACGACTTTTCTTATGACGTTTCTGGATTCGTCCAGATTTCCTGGTGTGAGCATGCCCACCCTTAGCAGTTCCTTGATCGATATCCATCTCTGTGAAAGAGTTAGGTTAGCAGGGAGGGTGGCATAAAATGGTTGGCAAACAATCTTAATAAATAGAAAATCTGGTTGCATCTAGCTTACCTCCAGTGGAATTCAATACATTGCCAGTTACTTTGTCGCCGCTGTTGTCTGAGTTGCGCATAACACGTCAGCTGTGGTCCGGATATATCGAGGAATTTTCACATACCTGTGGTTGCATTATCCAATTCCATGCTTGGCTTTTCCTCGTTCGGCCGAGGCTGAGAAGCTAGCTCTTGCAGCTTCGCAGAAAGTCTTTCAGTCCTTGCATCGACAGCTGGCCCAAAGACTGTGGCTCGAAGTTTAGCTCTATTGCGCTTGGAAACACTCGCCCGGACGCTCTTTGCCATGGTGCTCGTCGGCTAATTTCGAATAGCAAAGAAGAGTTATGGGTAAAAGTAAAGTTTGTAGAAGACAGAATGTAGCGATATCAATGATGACACTTTGTGAAGATCTTAATCCAGAGATCAAGTGTGTGTAGTGAAAAGTTTTCTGTAGGACTCGCCGCCTGTATTTGCCGGTTTGCCTTTTTTGTTTTTCGTTCCACCACTTTTTTTTTCCTTGGGAGGGAAGTTTGTAACACAAGCGCGGTGGATAATCTTATGTCATCACATCAAGAGGCTCTTCTCACCTCCGCAATCGCCGCCGGCCTGGTTGATCGTGTATAGGTTGTCATTGGCATCTAGCTCACTCAGGGCCTTTCATTGTTAGCTTTCGACTGACTTCAAATACTTGTCATACCAGACTCGAGCAATCACATCTCCCCATCTCCACTTGCCCAAGATTCTGGAGTATTGAGATGTCTTTGAACAGCGTTGTTGAGCATAGCGCAATTGTCTTGAGCCATCTTTCTTCCTGAGATAACGCCTGCATGCTCATTTAGTCACTGGCTAGCATCTTTAAACCCTAGTCATGGCCTCTACTGGTCAATTTTCGGATACACAAAGCCTTGTTGCCCTAGTCAAGACATTGACCAATGCGCAACTTAAGGATATACTCAGGAACGAAGGACTTGCTGTCTCAGGAGTGAAAGCTTCGTTGCAGCTACGGATCATTGACTGTTCGTTATACCTTGTTTCATGTTGGCTTCTATTTTCTAGGCCTAGTTCAAGAATTCATTTGCGAAGTTGTTAACTCTTCATGAAACGCAATAGACATTGAGAGACTCAACCAAGGAGGCCATGTTGAACAGTATGATGACCTGAGAAAATTTATCTATGCTACGGCACGTCGGCCAATACCTATGTCTCCAACCACACAAGCAGTCCCCGGCCAACACTATCAACCACATACCGTCAACCAACCTTTGCACACGCAGCATAGACCATCACCTTTGAGCATACCAATGCCACCACATGGACAAACATCTGGTACTCACTTATATTCTCATCTACTCCGAGGCTGCGATGGTTTCTCACTATCATACAGGTCGTTTAACCTTCAAAGACAGCCCATTCTACACCGTTATAGAGCCATTGACTTCTGCCTCGGAATGCAAAGGTAGGACACTGGCAGTATAGTCCTATTTCAGTGACAGTTCACATCTAATAATTCATGAAGTTCGCGAACAAACTAGGGACAGCGTGGAACTCAAAGTTATCCTCACACCAACCGTAGCGGCTAGGCTACAAGCGGATCCCAACATTCGGGTGATGGTGTATTGTGCTGCAGACACTGGTCTTAATCAGTATACCAAATCCGACATCGCATTTCCTCACCAAGTCGAACTAAAGGCCAACCTGGATGAAGTGAAAGCCAACTTGAGAGGCTTGAAAAATAAGCCCGGTACAACAAGGCCAGCAGATGTAACGCAATATATTCGCAAGAAACCAGGCTACCCGAATAATATTGTCTTGACATACGCCCTTACGCAAAAGGTAAGTATAAGACCGCCAATCATCACTTTATCAGCATGATACTCGCTGGACTTTGACTTGGTACCCCATCTTAAGGAGCTTGACTAACAGAGTTTAGCGCTTTTTTGTTCTGGTCAACCTTGTCCAGCGACATCCAGTCGAAGAGCTTGTTGACGAATTGAAAAGGAGGAAGACAATCTCGAAGGAGCAGGTCTTACGAGAGAGTATGCGCCTGGAACTATGATTAACGGAGTTATTGCTAATGCCCTACAGTGAGAAGTAAAGCTGGCGATTCAGATATTGTCGCCACGTCCAGTGTTATGTCGCTCAAGTGCCCTTTATCGACGCTCCGAATAGAGGTTCCCTGTCGTTCTGTAATCTGCACACACAATCAGTGTTTTGACGCATCTTCGTTCTTGCAACTCCAAGAACAAGCCCCAACTTGGTCGTGTCCTGTCTGTTCTAAAGCGACGAGTTTTGAATCGTTGCAGATTGACCAGTAAGACAGAAACACTTGACTCGAATCTTTGTGCAGGTATTGACATTTCAATGAATAGGTACGTCGATGATATACTTCGTTCAACTTCTCTAGATGTTGAACAAGTTATCATAGAGCCAGATGGTCGATGGTCTAGCCCTACTCAGGAAGACTCTGCCAAAGTGGGCGGATATACTCCGGCGACAGATGATGACGACGAGTTGATAGAAATAAGGGAACCCGGGGTTACGCCCATCAAGCGAGAGTCCTTCCCACCGCCATCTTTCTTCGTACACCAAACACCTACTCAGTCCCGAGAACCCTCAGCGACATCGTCTGCAGCTTATTTGTCGACAAACAAGCGTAATGCTGCCCAGGTGATCGACCTTACGGGAAGTGACGAGGAGGATGACGCTCCAGTCAGACCTGTAAAACGGCCAGCGTTTAACCAGATGAACCGACCCTCGTCTCAGCAGGATTTCTGCAACCCTTACAGCGGTGGCTATGCCAACGGAGACATTCAACTACCCAGCCAGCCTAGTTCTGATTTTCTTAATCATGCTGGTGGCTATGATGCACGCAGTTATTGAAGCATACTTGCAAGGTGTCGGGCGCATTCGGTTTCATGGGTATATCCACTACGCGAATTTATTGGGAGCGTTGGACAAAGCATGATAGCGAAACAGATTTACTTTTAACTTCAATGGCCAACGAAGATTTAGATCCAATATTCGTTCCAGAAAAAAGACATGTTTTATGGTCGCATAACGCGCTTACGGGGAACTCTACGTAGTTTGGGGTGTCATTCAAGTTCTCTGATGTAAATGCTCTGCTGCGTTGGACCCAGAACACTCGTTATGCCGGGTTATTCATATTCGTAAGGGGACATATCGGTTGTAAGTAGATAGGGGCCGCTCCGTCGGAGCTTGGGATATGTCGGCGGTCACCATGCTTGGCTGGCCTACTCCGAGCCGCATAATCTCCGCAGAACGCCAGCGTACAAGGGTGATCTGCTATTACAAATTCACCGAGTTCACTTTCTTCGAGTAATCCAGGCTACCCTACGATAATAAGGCTCCTCCACAACTGTGGTCACTTTAACACCTTTTACAATGTCGTTGGATACACCAGCTTCATCCCTCAGTGCTTCAGATCCTCACGCGCGGCTCCTGGGTGCCTCTTGTCTTGATTTCCTCCTGATAGAGCTCGTCCCCATGGCGGAGCGCTTAGCGAAAGAACTTGCGTCAGAAGAGAAGCTACCAGATGATGAAGAAATCCGGGAAACTACATTCTTTCGCCTCGAATCTCTAGGTTACAGGGTTGGACAAGGGTTGGCTGAACGGTACGCTTGAAAGTCCGCTATTCGCCTTTGCGACGTCCTTTCGGCCCTCCAAGTTATGAATCCATTTGACAGGTGGATATGCATAAGAACAACATGATCACCGACAGATCGCAGGTGCTATTGATGGAAGTCCCGCAGCTAATGCATATCTGTTGTCGACCGGAGCAGATTCTCGCGCGATCGCCCACGATTTGCAGATAACCTAGACATCATAAAGTTCCTGTGCAAGGACTTATGGACGATACTCTTTAAAAAGCAGGTGGATAACCTGAAAACGAATCACCGGGTAGGCAGAACGAAATGCGGCCCCAAATCTCTATGAAGTGCCCTGGTTCGCATTTTGGGGGAAGAGGCTAATACCTGCACTACCAGGGCGTGTATGTCTTGACTGATAACTCTTTTCGACCATTTGCAAGGATGAGTACGTCTGTTCGAAGTGAGGCGGTATCTATGGCCCAAGCGGTGTGTTTGTCCCGGGATACACGTATCCCCCAACATGTCAACTTTACATGATCTAACGACTTGCGGTAAATTATAGTATCTATGGTTTCCATGCGGTGTTATTCGCGGTGCTCTATCAAACCTTGGTATTACAACCACAGTTCAAGCGGAATCTACAGAGCTTCCAGGCGCAACCTTCCAAATCAAAACCGTCAACCCCAAGCCCTGATGTCGCTCAGACATAGACGGCTTCGAACCTTATCCAGGGCAATCAATCGTACAGTATACGTTCATCACTGGGAAGCTTGGATGTCAATCCCATGCAGCACTCTGGGGATATATGCTGCAGCTACAGGTCTCACGAAAGGATTGCTGGATGATCCTACAAACATTTGAGTGCGGGCATGAAGAATACATGGTTTTATCATTTAAACAGGTCACTCGTATCTCGAAGTCATAAATACTGAGTCAGACCAATCCATCGACTATCGCCCATTCGTCTGCAGAGTCACATAATTCAAAGCCTATCTCCCCAGAATAACAACGATTAGCAAGGCTCCTTCCATGTCCGTGAACTTGTGATGCAACCACCGAAAGATATTTCCCCGGCGGTGAAAAGGTGCGATATTGGCATATCACCTATTGATGATTGGAAATCCTGTCACTCAAGGACTGGGGTGGGCGCGTTTACTTTGGTGGGGGGTTCTTGACGAATTCGATTCCCTTTTCGATGTTGCCCTTCAAGCCCTTGGTGCAGGCCTCGATGAGCGTCTTTTCCTTCTCAGTCACGCCGTCAAGAACATTGATGGCCTTCTCAGCCCCGTTGGTCTGATTTGTCGAGTCAGAGTGATGCCCAATATTCAAATATCACATAATGAATGACTTACGCCAAGTTCTACGAGGGTAGAGAAGAACTCGAGGCCAGTGGCCTTGGAAATATCTTCGCCGCCAGCGATACCAGGCAGATAGACAAAGGTGGGCTCGACGATACCCGACTGGCCTTGCGCAGCCTTGATAACGCTCTGAGCAAATCTTGATATGAAGTTAGCCCCGACACCAAATGTTTGTAAATGAAGGACTCAAACCTGAAGCCAGCGTAGGCCATAGACAGGGTCGCGGAGCCGGCACCATCCTTGGCCTTGACAACCTCATCTCCACCGAACTGAACGCCTGCATATGGTTCAATAAACGATTCAATTGCCAAGAGACTGCACGGTCCACTTACGGTTGACTAGCGCATCGTACTTGTCTGCCGGGATCTGGAAAGCGGGAGCGGCCTTGCTAAAGAGGGGAACAATAGTCTCTCCCGAGTGGCCACCGACAACTGGGATGCGCACAGCAGATGGGTCCTTGTGGCCAGAAAATTCCTGAGTAAAGGTTTCCGCGCGGACAACATCCAGAGTGGTAACACCAAAGAGACGCTTGGGGTCAAAGACGCCAGCAGCCTTAAGGACCTCTGCGGCGATGGGAACAGTCGAATTGACAGGGTTGGAGATGATCAAAACAAATGCCTTGGGGCAGTACTCAGCGATACCCTTGACCAAGTCGCGCACAATACCGGCGTTGATTTTGAAGAGATCATCACGAGTCATCCCAGGCTTGCCTATTAGCAGCGGCTTTGTCAGTCAGACGCCTCTAGGAACAGGGGAGGTGATACACTCACGGGGGATTCCAGCAGGGATGACAACAATGTCAGCGCCAGTCAAGGCGTGCTTCAATCCATCATCCTTGGGCAGGAATCCGGAGATTTTCTGCCGAAAATGTCAGAAAGGGTGTCAAATTGTTTGGCATAGGGGAGCGCGTTGTGGTACGGTCACACATACAGCAACAGAGGAGATGTGAGAAAGGTCGGCAGCAACACCGGGGGTGTTCACAACATCGTAGAGCGCGAGGTCGTCAACCAGGGGGGATGTCTTCAGCAGGAGAGACAAAGGCTAACCGATGGGAAACGCGTGGGGAGTCAGTAAAAGTTGAAGAATGTGGTAGGTCTGCATCGCGGGCTGCAGTTCTGATAGGGACAAATGAGGGACACGTACCTGGCCAATGCCACCAGATGCTCCAAGAACAGCTGTCGAGATGTATTAGTGATTAGTCTGGGGTTGCTCTCGTTCTAGAAAGCGGGGTCGAAATGCAGGCGCCGTGAAAGAGCCACTCACCCGCTTTAACCATGGTGAAATTTGGGATTGTGACAAATCTATACACGAAGGTGAAGAAAAAGCACGCGAGATTAGTATGGGTATCGAAACAGATGACAGAGAGTAAGAAGAGGAGAAGAAAATTGAGGGAAAAGAAGTAGAGAGGGAGGTGACAGTCAGATTAAAGAAAAGAGAAAACATCAGGGGGGAGGGGAGGGGAGGGGAGGGGAAGGGAGGGGAAGGGAGGGGTTTAGTTGAGGAGGGGGCGGGGTGGTGGTGGTGGTACGGTCACGGTGAACAGGTCGGGGCAAGTGGCAGAGGGATTAGGAAGGATTGGGGGATCAGTAGCTCGATCCTAGGCCCATACTTACCAGAGTCTTTTTTTTTCCAGAAAGGAGACAGTGGTCAAGAAACAATGAAAGGGTTAGATGGACATACGTTATGAGCAAATTTATGTTTCAACCGCATCGAGAGAGGGAGAAGCTTCAGGTCCATTATATACTACGGAAACCGGACGGAGGATCACATGTGGGGTTAACCATGAAGCTGTCCTGCTGCTAGACTACTAGACCACTAGGCTATGTCTCCAGTGACCGAGATCCAGCCCATCCGCGGGTGTCCCAAAGGGTTCCCGGCCCCTCCCAAATGACATTGGCCAAACATACACTCCATTTAGTACACTCGGCAACTTTGAAAAGGCATGTATTTACATACCCCAGTGGGCAGCAAGTCGAGTAGAGTTGTTACAATTCTACGGAACCCTGGACGTCCGTTCACCATCCCCTAGGTATGCTCTATTTAGTACATGATCCTCCACCATCAACTCACGTAGTCCCCGCGAGCTGACTTTTGCTCAATCAAGGCCAGAGCACCTCATTACCATCACCAAGTCTACAGGGTCCTTGTGGAACAAAACCGTCAGGCACACGCCAAATCTTTCCTCCGCAATCCGGACATGCCATCTTTGCCATGAGAGCCGGATTGTTGCTTCCGGTTTACGGTTGCTTAGTCACTTCTGGAGTCGTTCAGATTCATCCTCGGATGTAGGACCCCCATACACGCCGCCCCAGATTCCGGCAATTCTCGTCGATTCCTTCGTTCCAGGAGCCCACAGGCGAAAGGAATATACCGGTTCGACCGGAGAACCCATCAAGGTTTCGGGAAAAGGCGGATATCATAGTTGTCTCACGGTAACTTCGCGGTTAGGTACGTGCTTACGACATCGGTTCTACACTCTACTTCGGCCCGACAGGCGGCAATCAACAGCCTACCAAAACATGGCCGGTGGCATCACAGGCAATTGCAGGCGGAAGGCTGATTGTTTTCCCGTCAGTCCGATTGTTACCACTGCGTCCAAAATGATGATGGCAACTCTTCCATCCACCCTCCCTTTCTTTTGTTGTTGTGTTGAATTTCCCAAGATTTTTTTGGTTTCCATTCTGAATGGCCTGGCCGGAGAACAATGCCCGCCTGGTAGCAGTATTGCTAAATTACATAGATGTTACCGCCCTTGGCCAGCACGGCGCTATTCTGGTCATCCCGACCAGCTCTCATGACATCATGCTTCCTAGCCCTTCCCGAATTGAAAAGTTGGCATTTACTCCGACTTCTCCTCGGCCTTTCTGGCCTTAGCACCGCGGGGCTTCTGAGCGGGAGTCTCCTTCTTGGCCTTCTGGGAGCGGCGGATGGCGCTGACGCGGGCGACAGCGTCCTCACGGATATCAGCGCGGTAGCCGTTCTTGGCAGTCTTGTCGGCAACACCCTTGTAGATCCTATGCGAGAGCAGTATCAGCAGACTGTCGCGCCTCCCTCACGGACATCACAGCACGCCAACTGCTCATATTGACTTACTTGCGGGTGGAGGCGTTAGGGCCGTAGGTCACGGTAACGACGTTCTTGGCAGGCTGCTGGGGGTTGCTGGGCTTCTTGGTGATGACAGCAACACCGCCGTTCTCGGTGGCCTGGACACCAACCGCCTGTTGTTGCAGCGTTAAACATCCAATCCCTGACAGAAGAATCTCTATGGCATGAAGCGCGGGTAAAGTACCTTGGTGTTGGCATAGCCGGCGTACTAAGCAGGTGATTTGAGATTAGCACGAAAACATGACCCAGACCTTGCGTTCAGGGTTCGTACCTTGAAAGAGTGCTTGTTCTGCAAGTTCAGGGGGTCACGGGAGAACTGAGAACCACCGCCGCTGTTACGCTTGACCAGAAAAGCATTCTGGGTGCCTGTTGAGGTAGTCGTAACATTAGCCGGGGAAGACGAGGCGCGAAACGGCTCCTAGGGTTTCCATTGGGATAATGGATAAGATATGCGTAAAAAGGTGCTAGTGACGTACGGGTGAGCTGCCAGATGAGGTCGCTGGAAACGTTGGCGGCCATTGTGAAGGTCTCTTTCGAAGCTTGGGTGGGGGATGAGGACAGATCCAAATCGTCGCAAGTCCGTTCGGTATATACCAGCTACGACTTAATATCTAGCCCTTAGAAGGTTTCAGTTGTGTGTGCCAACGCCAAGAATGGCAACGCTGAGAGCCTCGCTAAGCGGGCCGCTTTAGGAATAGACCCATTTTCAGGGCGGTTCGTTAGATGCCTGTGAGTGCTGCCTGAGAACGGGGGCCGCCGCATGTCGTTCCAGCCGCGTCCGCACCCTCGACCCACTTGCATCTTCCGCGCTCTTCCATATGCGTACACTTACGTATGACCCGACTGTCTCTCGTTGTTGTCTAAATGCCTCCTAACTAGCAGGCCCTGGCAAGACGCCGGCCAGACTCGAGTACTGTACATCCCTTAACCCTGTGGACAGTTCTATTCCCATCGCTTTAGGAGCATTGAAGCTTGGATCTACGCCGCGCTACGCTTTCAGACACCTATATAGCCTAATCCCCGCTGCTGTTTAGCTTGTCCCCAGTGCCTGGTGACCCTCGTTGACCATGGCTTACTACCTTCTCTACTTCCTCACGATATCGGTTGTTGTGTGTGGCACAGGTATGCGAGATTTCCAACCCCTCAGACTTGCAAGCCGTCCAAGTTTTCCTTCCTGACCTGCCTATAGCGCTCTACCTCACCCGGTCCCGATGGCTACCTCTACTGCCAGTTCCCGATTACATTTACGATCGTCTCCCCTCGACTTTTGCCGGCGATGTGGAAGCTGGTCTGGTCTCATCAGAGTTTGATATCTCTGCCAATATTGCAGAGGGCGACACCAGGGCGGGCTTGGATGATCAGGCCAAACGCGAAATCTTACGGATCATGAAACGGCGAAGAGTGGATTTCAATGAAGGTCGTCGAATCTACATGGAGCAGCGCTTTTCCAAGAACAACATCGGTCCCGATGGCCGACCTAGGGACCCAAAGTTCGTGTCATTCTCTTGATGACGTTTGTATCAGTCGCCCGATTCTGCTTTGCCCTCGTTCTATTTTTCCTTTGACATGTGCTTCTCACCAGCAGACTCTCCTCCACTTATACCCTCCCTTAGTGAATGAGTTTGAAGCTCCTTTGCTGCGCGTAGAATTTCTTTACTATTGCCATCGAAATTTAGTCCTGGCTTCCCGGCTTGAGATTGACTTTATATCTTGTGTCAACACTTATTTATGACTTCGTGGATCATTGTTGGCAATTAAGGCTCAATTACCATACATGGGCGATTGAAATGCTGTAGTGTTTCAGTTTTGTATTTCTTGCTACCACTTAGCACAAATGAGATATCGAGAACTGTGGACATCAGGGCTGGCTATTCAGACACATTCCTCCTTCCTGTCGAACGTTAAAGCTCAAACTAGCATTTCAATCTTGCCATGTATAACAAGCGGATATGTCAGTGTTCTCTTGTGAGTTGATGCCTCTAAAGCCGTTCAATATCGGGCGCGGCCCTCGTTCTTCCGTAGGGCATTGACAGCTACTCGGTTGTGGGTCGTTACATCAAGTCGAGTAGTCATTATCCGACAATCCAAGTAACGGTTGAGGATGATGAAATTGTTCTTTTCAAATACCCCCTCGTCTTCGGTTCAAGCCAAGGAAGTTGGCCTAGAATGCTCAACGCCCGCGCGCATAGCCAGGTTGCTGGAATCCCGGGGGCAACGGAGGTGGGGGACCAGGTGTTCCTGCCGGTGAACCGAACCCCGGTGGAGCAAAGCCTGGCGGAGGTGCTGCTTGAGGGAAGGGAGGTTGTTGACCAGCACCATTGAATCCTGGTGGGAGGAAGGACTGCGGCCCGCCATATCCGGCCTGAGAAGGTGGCGGCCGTGCTGGTAAACCTGGGGGTGGGTTCGCCAGAGATGTAGGTGGAACGGGTCGGCTTGCTTGTGGAGGAGGTACGTTTTGGAACGGTACATTCGGAGGAGCCATACCTCTGCCCATATTTAGGTCTGGTGGATTAGTACTCATTGGCCGAGAGCTATCACCGTTGGCCATCGCAGCTGGCACCATAGGTGTCCCTGGGTTTGAGAATTGTGGAGGTAGCGGCTGGGTTGGTGGGCGCACGTTATGTTTGCGAGCTTGTGCAGCCAGCATTCGTTCTGCTTCATCACCGTGGCGTTCACCTTTCCCATCTTTCTTATAGGCGTATTGCACGGAGACCTGCTTGTTCATAAGATATTGGCCGTTCATGTTGGTTATGGCCGCGTCCGAAGACTCAAAGTCGGCGAACGACACAAATCCATAGCCCTTTGACAGGTTGTTGTCATCCCGCGCAATCTAGTAGCAGCCATGGTTAGTAAGTTCCCCTCCGAGACACGGTGCCGCATGACAGGCCTATAGAAAGGATAAAGTCCTACCTTGGGGATATTGACCAGGTTTCCAAAGCGGCTGAATGTGTCATAAAGAACTTGCTCCGTAACCATAGGATCAAGATTGCCGACGAATAGCTCTGCCCCAATCTCCACCGACTTTTGCTTGTCGGCGGATGCTTTGTTGACGCGGATGGGCTTTCCATACAGGCGGATTCCGTTCATGATTCGTGACGCGTATTCGGCATCTTCCTCGCTGATGAATTCCACGAACCCATAGCCCTGATGCGACTGTGTGACTCGGTCTTTCGGTAGGTGAACGTTAACGATGCGCCCGGCCTGCAGCATCAGCTCCCATACCAGGCTATCTGTAACCCGTTCATCGAGGTTTCCGATGTAGACGGTGGCCTCTTTGTCTTGCTCCCTATTCCAGCAATTGTCAGGACCGATATGACTGGGATTCATATCACATGGAGTAAAGAGAAGCACTTACCAATGCCTTGCGCCAGACATAGCGCCTACGTATTACTCTTGAAAAGCCCCCTCGGCCGGATGCAAGCGAATGAACAGGAACAGAAAGACGAGGGAGGCGCTTGAATAAACAAAATAGAGACGTCGAATTGACAAGAAGGAATTGTGTAGTCAGAATAGTGCTGTTGGAGGTTAGAAAAAGGTACTGGGAGAACAAGGGCTGGAAGGATGATCGATGGAGACTCGGACTCCAGGTTATCGGCGGAGCTTTTACTGATCCAACTTTAGCCCCGGAAAACTTTGAGCTTCACCTCCCCCGTCTTTCCCGTCACTCCGTCACTCCGTCAACACTTCCGCCTTTCCTGATCTCAACTTTACCGGCATCAGCAGCAAGGAAATCCCTTCTTCATTTCCGCAACATTCGCGTAAGATTTAGCCGGCAATATGGTTCAGTTCTCCGAGGAAACCAAGGTTAGTCTGCGGTGCTCTGTTGCCCGTCATACATAACTAGTCACGCTTGGTCTCGGTATGCTAACGGATATGCCTACTATCTAGGAGCGTATCTCCAAGGTCATTGACGTCTCCAGAGTTGCTATTCACTAGTTCGTCGCATCTTGATTCTTTCGAGCAATGTGTCCTGACCAAAACTGACGGTTATGTTTGCATAAGTGGATACCTGCCATTGATCGTCTATCTCGGTACGTGTGATGGAATTATTTTTCTTGATGGAAATTTTCTTTGCTAACGGAAGCGGGACTAGGATACACTTACAGTGAACCCAAGCCTTCTCTGTTCAAGTATGAGCGACTGCGCCCTGCCGACGCTTCCCGACGATTCCAGCTCACTAACGCTACATATAGGCTGTTCTCGCCGCTCGCCTAGAGGAATGAGTTGCTTCAGCATACTGGACGGCGAATGCCCATCAGGCAGACTCATGCAACGCCTGGATTCTCCGTCTGCGATGTAGACAGACAAATAATAATACTGCCTGTCGGAATACGAGCAGACTGAGAAACCTTTTTCATCTCAAACCCCCGGGTCGATGTTGACATTGGAAGTCTACATCGATACACATGTACTTTTAAACTATGATCAGTTCTCATGTTTTGTATTGGTTAACGCGAATGGTTCAATTTCATACACAGGTCCAGGGCAGGACCGAGGATACATGCAAAGGGTTTCCGGGAGACTACATTATTAAGTATCAGCGTAAGCTCAACCGATGCACTGCGAAGCAGACTCCAGATCAAATATCAGCATGTATGATCTTATTTTATTGTAGTGAATAGTCGTAGGAAATGTCTCCTAACCATGCGGTTGTTTCCCTCGGACATTTGGGCGCTTCGGCCCGCCACGCGCGATGAACTTGAATCTTAGCTCCAGCTCAAATCCGGACCGAATCCGGACCTCTTTAATCCTCCCGACACTTCCGGCTAGAATCTCAAACACCTGCAAGCGGCACATTCCAGGAGGACTCGAAGGGTTAATGACTGGCAAGGATGGCTTGTCCTCGTCCTTTGTGGAGACCGTAGCGGGATTCACGGCCGGAATCGCTTCGACGCTCTGCCTGCATCCGCTAGATCTGATCAAGACTCGACTTCAAGGTTAGTGGTTCATCTCTCGAGGAAGAAGACAAGTCGCGAAGCGCGGATCAATCTCCAATATCTGATCAGCATTCAAATTATGACTAACGCAGTATCAATCTGCCATATTTTCTAGTCGACCGGTTATCCTCTTCACGAGTCGGCGGTTCAGTCCCAGTGATTCGCGAGATCTTTCAGAATGAGGGCGGCATTAAAGCCTTTTACAGAGGCCTGACACCCAACATATTTGGGAATTCCACAAGTTGGGCGCTCTACTTCTTGTGCTACGGCAACATCAAGGGCGTGATGCGCAGCTGGCGTAGTGGTTCTCAAGACCAGGCCCTCACCTCGGCCGACTACTTCCTAGCCTCAGGATCCGCAGGTACGCTCCAGAAGCAGAAAAGAAACAGACCTGCGATGTTTTCTCCCAAGAAAGCACCGGGTATGCAGTTCCGAAGCGGGAGATGAGGCTAATTCACGGAATTTTGATTCTCACAGGGATGTTGACATCCGCGCTAACCAATCCGATCTGGGTGATAAAAACCCGCATGCTGTCGACGGGATCCCAGAGCCCCGGGGCATACGCGTCGTTCACGACGGGTGCGAAGGAAATTCTTCGCTCGGAGGGTATTGCGGGCTTTTATCGGGGTCTGGTTCCAGCCCTGTTTGGAGTTAGCCATGGTGCACTTCAATTCATGGCGTATGAGCAGTTGAAACTGCATCGCTCCCGGATGGCTCCTTCGGCCGGAACAACCGGCGTTCGACGGGATGCTGATTGGAGCCATGTGTCGTCGTCGGACGCGGCCCGGTCGGGGATACGGGAGCTGGGAAATGTGGACTTATTCGTGATCTCGAGCTTGTCAAAACTATTCGCCGGGTGTGTTACCTATCCGTATCAGGTGTTGCGGTCTCGTTTACAGACATATGATGCTCACCTCGTGTATTCGGGCGTCAGGGATGCCGTTGCTCAGATTTGGGCTAGAGAAGGTATCACTGGCTTCTATAAGGGTCTTGGCCCCAATTTGCTGCGCGTGTTGCCCAGTACGTGGGTCACTTTCCTGGTGTATGAAAATACAAGAGCGTATCTACCAAGGTTGTTTTCCAACCTTCGATAGAGGGGAACTTGTCTCCTTATCTGAGCGGAAAGCGGAAGCAACTACCTATCGGACCTGACATATGTCACACAGCTGCTCGGATCTCGCGTCCGCCGGGCCCGTGTGCAGGTTGTATCTTGTATGGTCTTTGTGTATAAATATTCGTTGAGGTTCCAGTCACCTGCGATCAATGATGTCTATTTACCGGAACTTAGCATGTATTATATTGTTAGTTGTAGCAGTTTTGATATAATCATACGGATCAACATGATGAGAACCAGAACATACTAAAAAGGCTTTGTCCACCACAGGTATATATGTCCAAGGAAAGGGATGAGAATGAAAGGAAACACGCTGATGTACATAAGAAGAGTCTTTAAGCCGAACGAAAACGTCTGTGAAAGCCCTAATTCACGCGAACACCATATTCAACATGATATGCGGGAAGTATAAGGCAGATAAAATCAACACGAACGAGACTGGTATCGTAATAACAAAAGAGGGGAATGTGGATGACGCGACAAGATTGTAAGAAATATGAAGAAGGCCGGTATATCAATGAGCCTGCCTCTCAATAAAGTATGGTTCTGCGTCGTCGTCATCGCTGCTAGAACCTCCGTTATACATAGATGTATCTCCATAGCTTGCTCGGCGCATCTTGTCATCAGTGCTGCTGAGTGGCTCGATCCTTCTGCGGGATTCGGAGCCGGGATCAGACCGTGAAGTAGGCGAGATCCTGCGATCTTTCCCGCGGCCCTTGATTCCTTTGTTGCTGTTCTTATACAAAGTGGCAAAGTATTCCCAGAGCTTTCTGTCTTGTGGGCTCATGTGATCTCCCTCTGTCACTTGGGAGAATTTCATAGTAAGATTTCGTAGGGTTGTGGCATGGAACTTGTTCTGGTGTGACTGTTATAGCAGTCAGCTATCATTGAGGGGATTGGTTTCGGGGTTGATGAATTATTGGTCTCCGCACCTTAAGGTTTCCAAGCTGGGTGAACTGCTTTCCGCAGTCATCCAGGAGACAAGTGAATGGTTTGGCATGTTGATGGGTGATCTTGTGAGCACGGACGTTGCCTCGTTGAGCAAATCGTTTCTGACATATATCACAAAAAAATGGCTTTTCTCCAGTATGGCGTCGTTGATGAGTCTAATTATCAATTGTCTCTGTTAGACGGCCTGCAACATCTTCAATGCTGTTGATGCTCTTCTTATAGGGGGCTTTTTTGCCGAACGTCCAATAACTCACCTTCAGATTACCCAACTGAGAGAAGCGCTGTCCACATGAAGGCTCTTTGCACACCTTAGCACGAAAGGTTAGGTTAGCGTCATATTTCAATAAGTGTCTATTCTCATGCCACCTACAAAGGGCTTGTCCCCCGTGTGAGCCCGCATATGAATATCCAGATGCGTCTTCTGCGCGAAGCTCTTGCCGCACTGCGGTAAAGTGCAAGCATACTTGCGTTTTTTGCCTGATCGCGATGGGGCTTCTTCGACCATAACAGTGCACCGGGGGGTCGTCACCGGCATTGAATAACTCTGAGGGTATCCATTGCTTCCCCCGTGTGTCAATTGTTGCAGTGGCGGCAGAGACTGTACTCCGGGTGACTGAGCACTGGCTTTGGCCTGGATTGCCTTCATCAAGATATCTACCTCTGTCGAGAATTCCACCTCATTGGAGCTGGAGCTCTTCCCTTGTGCACCTTCTTCGTTACTCGAGGACTGGGCCCCGGGAGGTTGCTGTGACGCCCCATTGTGCTCGATCTTCATCAGAGGATCCCTGGCTACACGATTAACAGCATTCTTGGCCGGCCGAATATCGGGAATTTGCTGGATGGATGGCGGCTCAGAGGATAGACGGACCGGCTGGGGATTGATCGGCTGCTGGCCGGCTACAAAGTAATGCTGGTAGCCCGGATGATGGTGGTGATGATGGTGATGGTGGTTGAGTGTGTGTCCGAAGCTATACGCTGGTGACGAAGATTGATGAAACGGAAGTGTATAGCCACCAGTCGGGTTGGTATAAAATGGGAAGTTGTGGCCGACATTCGAGCCCATCATTCGACGAGGCGCAACAGCCCCAACGGCGTGGCCGGGGAATTCGTATGAAACTGGTTCTGCGGTTTCCATGTCGACAAACTAGCAATGAAAGGGTTGCTGGACTTTGCGTTCTCTCCACCACTGGGCCTTAAAGAGCCTTCAACTCCTACCGAGCTGATTGCAAGCGTCTGAAAAGCAAGATGAGCAACGGAACAGAGACAGCAAGATAGTCCGATGGGAAGAATAGGATACTGCCTGCTATCACGTCTCAGTAACCCATCTACAATGTCCGAAACTGTCCTCGCGGGGTAAGTCTTGTTGATTTGAAAGACTTTGTCACTCACCCACTATCTTCGAAAGACAGGGCCCACGCTGCTTGTTGATATGACACCAAGCAAAGGGAGTTTATGATGAAGTAAAGAAGCAAACAGGTCGGGAACAAGCAAATAAAATATATAGGGTATCAAGTCAAGATCAAGATCAAGATCTCAAAAAGCAAACATCAGTATCAGCAATGGAAATTTGAGTTCCCCACAAGCTGAGCGTGTCTCTGAGGGAAGAATTGACCAGAGTGGCTCCAGATGTATATAAACTCTTGAGTAGGGCAAGGAAGAAGAAGAGTGGAGAGAGACAATGGATTGTAGCCGGCAGTCGCAACGAGGTGGGCTATGACATTGATTTTGACAATGGGGGATCACCAATAAGCAAATATACGGCTTGATTCTTCAGCCTGTCTTCTTGGGTAAGTTTATTCGGCTTTTTTCCTTTTTCATTTTTTCCCCTTCTCTCTCTGTCTTTCCCTTATTTTGTTCGGGCCGTCTTGATTCCCTTTAATTAATTCCTCCTACTTTATTTCTTGAATCAGAAGAACAGAAAAGAAAAGCAACATAAGAAAAACAGAAAAAAAAAAGAAAAGAAAAGAAAAAAAAAAGCAGGGGAAAAAATAAATAAAAGAGTGTGAAATAATAAATATAACCATTTGCATTGGTTGGTTTCCTTGGACCCTCCGGAAAGATTGAGGACGGTGATCTAGAACTAAACTACCACTACCACTACTAGATATACATCGCTAGCCACTCATCCACCCTCCCTTTCTCGGTGTCCCAGAGCAGTGGAAGCAGCGGGGTGGCCAGTGACAGGGATCTGGCCTGCTAGTTTAGTTGGTGCTGATCAAGCTGAAGGCTTGTACGCACCAGAATAGGAAAAGTAACAGGCAGCTGAGGTATGGGGGTGTGGATAGGCACGTATGACTATGTATCATTGTATGACTGTATGGGGCTGTATTGAAACAATTACGTATTGGATGTTATAGATGTACGACAGCACTTGTCATGGATGTATTGGATCTCAATACGAAGTGCAGTAAACAGAAGAAGCCTCTCGGGGAAAAAAAAGGGGGAGGCAAAAGATGATTGACTGAATGGATGACAGGCTAATGACGATACCATATGGATATAGGAAATACATCGGAATTTGAAAAATAGTCATCGGGAATTATTCTCTCTCTCTCTCTCTCTCGATGCTCACGGTAAGATCGCTCCTAACAGTATGTCTGGTTTCCGAGAAATCTCCCCCCGGGTCACCGAAATTTGGGGCAAAGGTCACAATAGGTTACTTTCCACTCCGTCTTGTCATGCGTTTTGTGATTGATTGACGGAGCTGAATGCAATTATTCTGAATCGCGGTTGCCCCATCCATGTACATTGCAATCCCGAACACCCAAGCCACCAGAGAAGGCTGACACATCTTACTTGGGTCCCATGAAGTTCCATCTGGTCCCTTTTCTTCTAACCGGAGAATGGGGCGATTAATTACTAGTTCCATCGACAATCATACTACTCCCCCTCCCATAATACGAGCATGTTCATAAAAATGAAGAAAAAATATTTATACCTATATAAGATTTTTTTTATTTTATTCTTGGCGAGATACCTAACTTAAAAAGGGAATCCATGGATGGGCTCCCGGGGGATCGGGGTCCACTCAATTTTCGAGGAGCCCTTCAGTCCAATCGCGGAAGGCATGAAGACATTCCGATCGGGCTGACAGTCACGCACCACATGGATGGTACGGAAAGAATACATGCTGTGTACTAGGTATTGATCGCCCATAATCAGGACTAATGCACTTTGCTGCCGACTCAGTCTACCTCAGGTGTGATGAAGCTGTTCATTTATATATATATATATATATATACTATATACTATACACGCATAGTAGAGATGTTTGTACTATTCACCCCCCCAGTCACGGTATCGCATATAATTAGTCTATCGGGGTGAACTCCATAGTAACACACTAGACATCAGATTCAACTGGTATGATCGAGAGTTCCGGTATCCCTAATTAGTAGTAATCAGCAGTAAAGCGGATAAGCATGGCGAGGCAACCATAAGTAGAGCTGGCAATGCCGCCACCACCCTTGAGATAGGAGAGAAGAACGGCAAAATCCCAGGCTACCATAAGCATGGATTGTGAACTCGTAATTGACATCCCACAGCGCACGAGTCGTCATATCATCTGACCCCGGAGGATGGCCCATGGGCATTGACCCCGACTAATTCGAAGAGTGAGTGGAGTATGGGCATTTCTTCTGACACCTGTTAGATACAGCTGATGTAGTACCTGACTAGTATTCCTATGTCTGAACTGGATGATCAGCTACTAGATGTGGTCTTTGGCTGGTTATGGTTTTTTTTGGGGGGGGAAGTTTGGGGGTTTGGTGAGAGTACGCCGTACATCGCACTTACTCGGGGAACTAATGCTGCTCGACACAGCTCCATTACCATTCTCGTATCTTTCCATAATGTCAGCCAGCTACTTACTAGCTGTTAGTGAAACAACCAGGATACCCTCGTCATCCACGCAGGCACCTGAGCTGTTGGGATCTATTTCAACAAATGGGAGGCGGGTTCATACCGGACAACCTTGCCGGTCGAAGGATCTTCATCGTCACCTGGATGGATGTAGATCTTGCGACTGGGCCTTGTTGCCCATGGGGGTTCGCTCATGGACCCGTAAGCAAAGATAGCCACTAACCGGCCCTAAGGCTCCCTCGAAACTTATTCCGGCATCCAAGCTTAAGAGAGCAAAGAATGGGGGGGGAGGAAGGTAGAGGCTATGTACAAACTACATAATCCCAGCACCTGCATCTACACTAGGGGGTGCTTAAGGGGATAATACGGCTGTCGGTCGTTTGGTTATACGCGGCGTGAGATTTCCGCGGCTGCGAGGCATGGAAAACCCCATCCTATTGATATCGCTACCCGGTTGCAGGAGCGGGCGGTAATTTTCATTCTGGATGCTGGTTCGCTGCCGGAGCGGCCGAGAACTCCGATGACGGGCTTAATAGGAGAGGGAGTAAGTACGTACTTACTGTTATTATGTATCGGAGGAACTGGCTGAGCTGAATTGTCCTCCATCCATCCTTCTTGTCAGTAGAATGTGCCCCATCCATACCTACCTTAGCGGCAAGTAAACATTTACTAGTTAGACCTTAGGCCATTGCTCTTACCTACTTAGTCACATTGTCTTCACTAACCTTTTCATTAGGTGTGAGTTTCAATATGATGATTGATATGATTGAAGTTAACCGACTTGTTACTACTTATACAATGGTATTTAGGGGAGGGAGAAAAACTAAAAAAAAAAAAAAAAAAAAAAAAAAAAAAAAAAAA